CACCACTCTCCACAAACAGCACATGCCAATCCATTGCATTCACATTCACTACTTTAATCACCACTCTCCACAAACAGCACATGCCAAAGCAATGAGTAGAGCTCATTGTTTATTTTGCAGTGATGAATTCTTAACTAACATTTATAACTTTGTACACTGCTTTGTGTAGTGGCACATCCCATGATGCATCAAGTTTATATAGTTTTTCTGTACTAGATATTTTCAATTAGACTAGATATTTTCAATTAGACCCCATTTTAGTTTATTGAATCATATAAAGATTATTTATTTAAAATACAAATTATTTTTTGTGTTCTGATTTCTCTATTTTAGTTTATTGAATCATATAAAGATTATTTATTTATTTTATCTGTTGGAGATCCTCAACACCGTTCTGAGTATTGATTTCATTTGTTGCATCACCTAAAAGTGCTTGGCATGTATGCTCCCTAATATGTTTTTATTCAGAGTAGTTACACGACCCTGCTGTTGAATCATGTCTAAAGTGGTTGAGGCGGGCCACTCCGCAATGTGGGACAAAGACGTTACAAATATTTTTTGTGATTTGTGTATTAAAGAAATAGAGCTGGGTAACAGACCAACAACGTATTTTAATAAGGAAGGGTGGAATAGCATTGGCAAGAGATTTAAAGAACTGACTGGTAGGGATTACGACCGCCTTAAATTTAAAAACAAATGGGACCAGCTGAAGAAGGAATGGAAAATATGGAAGGAGTTGAAGCGTGGATCTACCGGTCTGGGTTGGGATCCGATTAAAAGGAAAATAGAGGTAATTTATATATAATTCATGAATTGATAGCTTCGCAAATTATTTTATCTAACTATAATTTTCTAACTATCCCCTCTAAATGCTGTTCCACAGGCAGTACCGGCAGCGAAGAAGTACAAACAGTGTACAAACAATGTGGAATAGAACCGGAATTTGAAGAGAAGTTGGACATAATGTTTAAATGGGTTGTCGCAACAGGAAAGTTTTCATACAACCCAATTGAAAGCGGTTTTACAGGGATACCAGATGAGATCACACCTGATCCAGTGACACCCGATGAAGAAGTTCAAAGCATTAACCAGAGGGATATGGGGGAGTCCAGTACAATTTTAAAGAGGCCAAGGATTGCTAAGAAAAATAAAGAGAAAGAACATGCTGTGAACACCTCCTTCGACCGTTTAATTGAAGCTTTTGCAGCTCCACCAATATCTGAAGCTAGCATAATAGACTGTCTGAGGCTTTTGGGCTAATGAGTTTGGAGATCAGGAGGGTGAAGGTTTGGCTGATATGATTGCTTTAAGGGAGTCTATTACAGATGCTATTTGTGGCTGTTGATCTACCAAGTTTTACTTTAATAAAGTTATAGGTTGATATTCATATGTATTTAATTTTGGTTACTTTTAAAATACCTTAAACGGACATTGATTCTTTTGTTTATGTCGCAGTTAAACAAACATGACTTCCAGGATATCAGGTATGGACAGAGAGATTTTGTGTTATTGTGGACTACCGTCTCCGTTGCTAACGTCACGTAAAGAGCATAGCTTTGGGAGGCAGTTCTATGATTGTGCCAGAGGTGTTTCAGCTCGCTGCGGTTTCTTCAGGTGGGCTGATAGTCCCACAAATTACACCGCCAGTAATTATGCAAGCAGTCATGTCAATCCGATGTTTTCTCAGGCTGACTGTGCAGTTGAAGACCGCCGTAGCCAGAGTCTGAAGTTAAATATTTTAATATTTCTCCTTGTTGTTGTACTTGTTTTTGTACTTTTTTTAGTTCTACTGGTACTCGTTAAGATGTGAGAACTGTATGTTATCTTTTGGAACTTGTCTATCATTATGGTATGTTTCTGCAATTAATGTTTCTTTTCTACGAATAAGTTTTTCTAAATAAGCTGCCCCAAACAGTTTTATTACATATGGGCAGTAATGTCATTTAACCACCAATAAGCTAGTTTCAATAAGCTGTCCCAAACAGCAAGCCAGATTATTCTGATAATCTACAGATTATCAGATTATCAGAATAATCTGCTTATCAGCAGATTATAAATAATCCACAGCTGCGCCAAACAGACCCTTAGTGTATTTCGTGGAGGAGGTGGTGAATGAGAAGTAAAGGTGCACAAAAACGTAATACAAAATTGACTAAATACTTAAAAAAAAAGACCGACTCACGCACACTAAAAACCATCTCCATTTGACGCTAGCAATGCCCTAGTTCCTCGCGCTTCCCGCGGTTGCTCACGCCGGCACTCCGTCGCTGGCCACCAAACTAGGGTTTGGGTTTAGGTTTGAGATTCTAGATGATCGTTCCCTCTCAAACTTCTGCAGAATAACGTAATGGAGCTTGGAGTTTTGAACTCCTAAGCAGCACCTTTGGCGGCAACCGAAAGCCGACAACTCACCTTTGTCCATTGTCGATCTCGCCGAAGAAATATGATAACAAGTATATTACTTATCCTTAAAAGCATTATTGCCATTCTTTGTTCTTAGTTTTTTCCCCTTCTTGGAGGCAGGTATGTGATTTCAACGAGGGCTGTTGACAACAAGCACATAAAGGTCCGGCAGAAGCTGGTACTGGAAGTAATTTCTTATTCTGTTAAATTTGCACCCTTTTTTGTAATAGTAGTATTGTTCTTGCGCATTCCGAGTTTTTTTCTTGAAGTTACGTGAATGCGATCTCTAAATTCCACACTAGCGATTACTCGTCATATTGCGCTTCATTGCGGCCTTTTTTTCCATGTGAAACGGTGAGATGTTGATGGTCAGTTCTCAAGTTTCAGTTTGTTTGATCAGTTATTCGTAATAATGTGCATCAATTTTAGGTCTAAAACTGATGTAGCATGCTCATTGACACTTTAAGCTATGATATTGAGATTTTTTTTCGATAGTTCTTCTGGAAAGTAGGTCCATCTGCCTAATACGGGTTTGTTAGGATTTTAAATTCATTAAATTATGAAAATTTTGCAATTTACCTAGAAAATGGGTTAAGTAGAAGCGCTGCTCTCCATTTACATTTAAAAGGACCTTAGAGCAACATAATTGCATATGGCAAAGATACCTTTCCCTCTTTCACACACACAAGACTGAAAGAAAATCTTTTGGAATTATTTTGTTGAAATACCATACTCTTGCGTAAAGCTATGGATTGTTACAAGAAAATTTTATGTTCATGTTTTCATTCTTATTATGTGTGACCATTGATGTCAGTTCATGTGTATAATTTGTTTGCCTGCATTGGAAAATTCTTGGTGCCTAGATTTTACTGGTGGAAATTTTCTATTTTCAAACTAAAATATCCATTTAATTGGAGGAGCCTTACATTAATACGCCACTTGGTAATAAATTTAAAGTTTAAAAAGGTGAAATCGGGAACCGAGATGGAAGCCGCGAGGTGGGTCGAAGCATAAACCTCAAGAAAGAAACTCATAAAATTAAAAACAATTAAAAAATAATTACATAAACTATTAATATGTTGATTTAATTTATTATCATAAAGTCAGAACCTCAATTAATTAGTGTTGATATAAAATAGAATTTTGAAATGTGATTCTGGGTAAATATTCACCTAAATTTTAAATATTTCATAGGTTTCAAGATCCATAGTAGCGTCATCTATACTTACACATCTTCAAAATAAGCATCATATTTATTTTCATCTAATTCTATCTCGTTTTCAACTTTATAATATATTTCATTCATTATATTTTTCTTCTTAATATCAATTAATCTGAATTTAAAAATAATTTAAAGTAAAATTAATAACATAATCAAGTAATCACTTGAATTTTAAATTGATTTTTTGAGACATTGCAACAAATATATATAACATAATATACTATTTTTGCACAACTTGATCAAGATGCTGCCTCAAACGTCTCAAGGTATAAAGCCTTGTGGCGCACGCCTCAGACGATGGTGTCAGCCCCAATGATTACATTGAGACTTAAGCCTTGAGGTTTTTTTTTATGTGCCTTAGTTTGAGGCACGTCTCAAGGCGTAAGCCTCAAATGCCTTTTTAAACAATACGATTGGTAGCATAAGTATTCCTAAAAAAGTATAGAGATTTTTTGGTTAACTGCATATATCCAAAATTAATTTATTAATACAATGGCTATGTATTCCTAAATAATTGAAATTTCATCAATCTAGTGTAATTTTTTTGTTGTTGAAAAGTTTGCCTACAGGCTCCTTAATTGCTAAACAATACTCAAGGATGTTGATCGCCGTTGTTGAAAAGTTTGCCTACAGGCTCCTTCTTAATTGCTAAACAATACTCAAGGATGTTGATCGCTAACTACTATTATAATGCAAGCCCCATCCATTTCATTTTTTTGCTTCTGTTTAATTTTTCTTGAATAGTAATATTCACTCCATAAAAGCGGGTAACAATTAGATTACAACAAATATAGTGCAAGTATACGAGTTAGCTGATAGACTATTAAAAAAGATTATGGAAGAACTAAATGACTATCACAAGAGATATGGGAACAATTGAAGAGCTAGCTTTAAAAAGGAAGGAATACAGAATAAGATCTTTTGAACCAAATCGAAGAAGCTAAATTTATTAGCATTGAGTATGTGATGCAGAAATCCATTGAGAAGCCAAAGAACAACCAAAACGTCTTTAATATACTTGTTGAATAACACCATAACCGGCCCTCATAATGTGGATCATTTCATATTGAACCTATAGTCTGGATCAAATCTAGAGAAGGGAATGACCAACTTATAGCCTTCCCAAAAAAGACTTTTTGACCGGAGATAAGATGACACAAAAACAAGTAGTTCAAACGAATCATTTGATTATTGGTAATAAAAAGAGATTCTAAGTACCTTAACACATATTATATAGTTTTTTGCTCAAACTTGACCTGATAAAAAACAATTGGGTTCATCCCTAATTGCATCATTCTCAGTGACAACTTCAATCAACCATTGAAGCGTGTAGGCAAAGGCTCTTTCAGTTTGTTTAAAAGAATTGCATCTAACATGATTAAATTTCTATAAGTTCCTTGTCATGAAGCATAAACACAACGACATTGACATGAATATGGCATAAGTGTAATCATTAAGACATGAAACATATCACAGCATTGAAGTTTATACTTTATAGAAGAAACTTTAAAATATCAATATAAAAATAATTGTTATTGATTATGATTACATTTCATAATTTTATCGCGTGCTTTAACTGTGATTTTTTTAGTAGCATGCTAAACTTATCATTCTTTAGTTATTGTCTTTTATTTTGTTGATATTAATATTATTTACTGTGGAATTGTGAGTTTCCTATTTTAGACTTATTCTCGTTAAGTCCTTTCTTATTAAGTTGTATTTCTTTCCTTTTGTTAGTTGTTCTATCTTTGGTAGGTTGTAATGGTAAGACTTGCTTTTACTCATTATAAGGAGGAGAGTTGTAATTTGATCATTAAGGAATAACATAATTCCGACTCTCATGTCATCCTTCATGGTATTAGAGCGGTAAACCTTTTCTTGTTAGAACACCGCTGCTTCTTGCTCTCTTGTTCAATTCGAACGGATCAGACCGCTCACCGCTTCTTGAGGGCTTCCTGAGGGTCACACTCGTCACTGTTGCCCCTCACTCTCTCGTTACGCGCACCACTGTCGCTCGTTCGCTCATTCAAATTCATCTCCTTTGAATGACTCCGGCTTCGACTGAATCGATCTCTGCAAAGACTTCAGGTTCAATCTCCTTCCAACGACTTTGGCGTTGGAAGTATCCAATCATCTGCAATACTTCGTGTCGGCAATTTACTGCATCATTGCCGTTCTCCCAGAGCAAGTTCGTTGGTTTCTTTTGCTGTCCCTGCAAAAACCCTCATCCGCATGCTCTCTACAACTCTGTCCTGCTGTTGCCAGTTTTCTTGTAGTTCCTTCCCGGCTTGAAATCATCCTTGAAGTTACTTGTTTTTCCTGTAAGCCATCCCTATGATGAGCAGAAGCCAACCGGTTTTCTCCCAGCTGTAAAAGTGCACAGGTTTTATGACAAAGTATGGAATGAAGATGTCTAGCTCTACGTCAGAGGTTAGTTCTGAATCAAAGATCAGGAATTCTATCCAAACAGTCTGAAACTCTATTTTTATCATAAACCATAAACTCAGTGACTATAACTTTCTTCAGTGGTCCCAATCTATGTTATTTACAATTGTGTAGAAGGAAGAGAGAAAAGAGTATACAGTTTTAAGCTCATTGATCCTAACCATCATCCATGCAAGATTCAAGATGATAT